GCAAAAGTCCATGTCCATTTTGCACATGACAGTCGCACCAATGAGAATGGTAGCCGGCTAATCGATTTAGCTTGTGAGAAATCTCTCTGCATTACAAACACCATCTTCCAAAAGATTTTCACCATGAGATACAAGGCCAAAGGGAGACGACGAAAGGAAAATAAATTGTCAAAAAGGACGCTCTTAACAATATTGGATTTATTTGGATTTCCTACAGTGGAATCAAGAACAGTTTCCCTCTACGAATTCATCTATGGAATCATTCCAGTTAAAACAGATGAAATGTTATTCTCAAATATTTTTTTGGATCCATACCTGATTTCTTTGTAAAATTTGCAAACATGTTTTTATGAATTTATGCGAAGTACCGCTGTGATTGCAGGCTCAAATGTCCGGATTTTCTGGCCATGTGCAAGAGTCTCACTTTCCATGTGATCGACCTATGCAAATATGATATAGATATTCATTGCCCACTCAGTAGAATAGGAACTAGTGCATGCTGTATATTCTAGGGAACCACGTCATGTCGAGTGCTCATTCTTGTCACACAACGGATAGAATACTTCAAGACAATCCACGGAAGGGCAGCCCGACAGATCCCGGTCACCCATATAATATAAAKCGATGAATTTATAATGAGCTATTCAAATCGATTCATCAACTGGCGCCACATTCCCCTGATGAATATATCACTCCCCTGCTTTAAGATTCAATCGGTCTCTACCATATATACAACCCTATAAATATTAAAGGAAAACTAATGAATTAGTGATAACTACAAATCGCTATAAATTCATCGGTCACTCATATATTGTCCAGTGAATATATAATTCAATTCAATTCATAAAGAATCCCACATTTCCCTGCTGAATATGAAATCCCTCCCCGGCTTCAAGTTTCAATCGGTCTCTCCACCCTTATCAATAGCAAAGGAAAACTAGTGAACTTGGAACTATTTGAAAAAACGAAATATAACTACCAAAAATTACACTTGTAGTGTTGTTCATTGGATGCAGTGTACTGTGCCTAAAATTCAAGATGCCATAACGCTATCGATATGGACAATTAGAAACAAAATGAAAACGAATGAGCAAATTCATGCTACAATGTTTTATTCGAAAAGCTTGGTATTATTGAGATCTTTTTGGATTCTCATTTTCCGTGCCATTCTTCCAGAGTGTTCGATGGCTGAGTCATTCGCAGCCATTTGATAAATGAAATTTGAAACTTGCCTCTCGTTCGGTGAATCCAGAATCATAGGCACATCAAATCTTGAATCAATTCTTGCGCATCTTGTTGTTTTGAGCTCTTATTTTGAGGTGCATGTTTCCACACGATATACTTGGTTTAAAATAACATTTTTTGTTTCAAGGGGTGTAGGATGCTATTCGGAAATATGCAAGTTCTCTCTTTCCACGTGGCTAATAAGAAGAATATAGATATTCACTTTCCTCCGTGTAGAATATATTAGCGAGAACAGATGGCGAATGCTATGTTCACTCTTGCCAAAACACGGAAAGAATACTCCGAGAAAATCCACACACTGAGCACAAGACATGATCTGGTTACCAGGGTTACATTATTTTTTTTTATCCGCT